CACACACACACACACGGACCAGCGTGGCATTTGCTGGTACAAGTCTCTCGGTCGTTCTCGCTGTCTGTCCGGCCGGGATGGGGCTTGATTGCCGATGACTCTGGTTGTGTGACTTGGCGCTCGTTGTAAAAGTCACCTCTCCACCGCGGCCACTCGGTTGGTGGAGCGAATCAAGTGCGCCGTTGCCGAGACAGTCGAACAGGCCCGACGACGAACGGGACGACGAGGCAGGCAAGAGGAGTGAGGAGGGAGGAGGGAGGAAAGGGGGCGAGGTCAGAGAGGTGGTGTTAGCCAGATAGAAGGATACAGGCATACAGACAGACAGACACGAGAAATAGAGAGTGCGCAAGAGAGCGAGAGAGAGAAGGAGAGAGAGAAGAAGAGAGAGGGGCAGAGAGGCAGTAGGACCTGGTGGAGGATGTTGACAGAGGCAGCAGTTTCAAGTTGTCGTCTCGTCTGCTCGTGCTCCCGACGCCCATCCACTTCAGCCGACCGGCAACACGACACAGACACTCTGTCACGTCGTGCCGACCTTGTGGCTTGACGACGACGACGACGACGACGACGACGACGACGTTGTCATGTTCGCGCCGACGTCGACGGGCACAGCGTCGGCGATGGAGTTTGAGCGGATTACGACGAGTCGGCCATTCCTCGGCGTCGACGTGCACCGACCGAGCAACGGATTGACGCCCGCCTACGCCCTCGGCGGCCAAACGGACCCGAAGCCGCAAGCAAAGCCGCAGCCGAAGACGAGGCAGAAGCCGAAGCCGAAGCCGGAGCCGGAGCCAAAGTGGGACTCGGAGCCGGGACCGGCAGAGGCGCCGACGGCCGACGGCCAGACGCCGAGAAAGACGGACCGCCGCCTCGGCACTCCGTCGCCGTCGCCGTCGCCGTCGTTATCGCCTCCAGCCTCGACGACGGGAATCGGGTGTGTTGTCAAGCGGGCGTGGAGCGGCCAGTCGACGAAAGCCAGTCTCGAGCCGAGGGACGTGGCGAAGCGGGCTCGACGAGGCGGAGTCGAGTCGGCGGGTTCGACGCGACGACGCAGTCGACCGACCGGCCGAAGCGATCGAAGCGGCGGTGGCGGCGAGAGGGAAGTGGTGGTGGTGGTGGAGGAGGATGATGATGATGATGATGATGATGAGGAGGAGGAGGAGGAGGAGGAGGAGGAAGACCACGACGAAGAGGATGACGAAGGCGACGAAGCGGATGAGGAGGAGGATAACGAAAACGACGACGACGACGACGACGACGAAGAAGATGACGACGACGAAGAGGATGAGGATGAGGAAGAGGAAGAGGAAGAGGAAGAAGAGGAGGAAGAAGGGGATGAGGAAAGGGAGGGGGGCGCCAAAAGAGGGGCGGTGGAGAACGGCCGACGAGTGCGTGCCGCCGGACCGGCGAGGGCTGACGAGTCTGCGCCGGCCTCGCGAGAAGTCGCCGAGGCGGAAAGTGGCGCCGAGGCGGCGTGTCGAGGGGACGGCGGGAAACTGGCCAATCCGCGCGCTCGAGGCCAGGCACAGCCGAGGCCGGGTCCGGGTCCGGGTCCGGGTCCGGGTGCGGAGACGCCGGCGTCCGGAGGCGGCCAGCCGTACACAGTCTCGAGTAAGCCATGCGTGTCGCTTTTTGTGGCACGAAATCACATCCAACTCTCATCATTTCACATGTCAATGTTGTATTCCTGAGGTGGGATTGTTGACGAGGCAAGATAATATCGACTCGGTTTCCTCATATCACGTTTCACATCTTTGCTATGACAATCGATTATCCGACCTTCTTTTCCTTTATGTTATGGTTTCGATACTATCCATAAATCGGGTATATGAGCCCTATTCACACTTTTTCGTTATCGCCTTCAACGAAATGAGGTGGATTGCTCTCATAGTCTTTAAATCGTAATAATCAACCCAAAAAAAACAGATTACTTGAAACCGAAATTCATTTACTCATAAATCGAACTGAGTTGTGTGGAAGTGATGCTTTGTTGTTGTGGGTTACAGTTTTCAATTTGCCCAGTTGAGGCTTTCGACGAAATCACATCCAACTCGGATCATTTAACATGGCAATGTTGTGTTTCTCAGGTGGGATTGTTGGCAAGGAAAGGTACCACATCTTTACTATGAGAATCGATTAAACTATCTTTTCTTCATTTATGTTATGATTTCGATACTATGAGCCCTATTCACCATTTTTCGTTATCACCTTCAACGAAATAAGGTGGATTCCTCTCATGTAGAAGGTTTTATCATAGTCTTAAAAATCCTAATTATCAACTAAAAACAAAGAAATTACTTGAAACCGTAATTCATTTACTCATAAATCGAGCTGAGTTGTATGGAAGTTATGCTTTGTTGTTGTAGATCACAATTTTCACTCTGCCCAGTTGAGGCTTTCAACGAAATCACATCCAACTCTGATCATATAACATGTCAATGTTGTATTTCATAGGTGGGATTGTTGACGAGGCAAGGTGACATCGACTCGGTTTCCGCTTTCCCAGTTGATAAGAGGAAACCGAGTCGATGTCACCTTGCCCCGTCAACAATCCCACCTCGGAAATACAACATTGACATGTGAAATGATCAGATTTGGATGTGATTTCGTCGAAAGCCTCAACTGGGCAAAGGCAAAACTCCAACTTGGGCCGTTTAGGGAGGCGAGCAGCCATACACAGTCTCAAGTAAGCCATGCGTGTCGTTTTATTGTGACAACATTCCTCTTGGTTACCTCATTAAACAGCCCAAGTCCGAGTTCTGCTTTTGCACAGTTGAGGCTTTCGACGAAATCACATCCAACGCTGATCATTTCACATGTCAATGTTGTATTTCTGAGGTGGGATTGTTGACGAGGCAAGATGACATCGACTTGGTTTCCTCATATACCGTTTACATCTTTTCTATGAAAATCGAGTAAACTACTTATTTTTAATTTACGTTATAGTTTTGATACTATCCATAAATCAAGTATATGAGCCCTATTCACCCTTTTTCGTTATCACCTTCAACGAAAAAAGGTGGATTTCTTTCATATGGTGGTTTTCTGATAGTCTTGAAATCCTACTTCTCAACGAAAAACAACAGATTACTTGAAACCGAAATTCATTTACTCATAAATAGAGCTGAGTTGTACGGAAGTGATGCTCTGTCATTGTTGATCACAGTTTTCACTTTGCCTTATTGAGGCTTTCGGCGAAATCACATCCAACTCTCATCGTTTCACATGGCAATGTTGTATTTCTCAGGTGGGATAATTGGTGAGGAAAGGTAGCACATCTTTGCTATGACAATCGATTAAACTATCTTTTCTTCATTTATGTTATGGTTTCGATACTATGAGCCCTATTCACCCTTTTTCGTTATCACATTCAACGAAATGAGGTGGATTCCTCTCATGTAGAAGGTTTG